ATGTTATGTTTCGATACGATGACAGCGCAGCGATAAAAGATACATATCTTCTCGACTACCAGTTGAATTTATATGGTTCACCTGCTGTGGACTTGTATTATCTTCTGCTATCATCAACTACTGTGGATGTTAAAGTTAGTCTTTTCGAATATTTCGTTTCATTCTACCATGGGGAACTGGTGAAGTGCTTGAAATTGCTGAAATATGGGGAGAAAATACCGACACTCAGGGATATCCACGTAGCCCTCTACAGGCACGGAAATTGGGGTAGATACTGTGTTTTGTTATTTAATATTAAATAGGTAGTCTTGACGACCAAAATTTGCGGAAGTATCTACGTTGAAATAATATTTATACTTGGCTTAAGTAAATTATTTTAATTCTTCGCTCGCTTTGGTTTTGAAAATGTGTAGTCCCTACTGGAGTGCAATTAACGGTTGTGTTTTAATAATTATCTGGTCACTTCTCATATAATATATTAGTTCAAATAGTAGATTACTAGATATAGGAAAATATCTCTACCCTAACTCTTTTAACATTTCCGCTGTTATTTCGTAAGAATTCTAAATTTTATATCAGATTAGGGAATATTTTATTCCATTAAACTCGGAAAAAATATAAGTTAATCAATAAAATAGAACCTTCTCTCAGTCTAGTTGATATCTGTATCTTCCGAATCCCTGAATACGATCCCGGTGCCAACGTGAGCCCAGCACGTCTACATCAAGGTCAAATGAAGACTAAATTCCGTTTTTAGGAGGGATAATTTTTTACCTGTCCCGTTTTTTTCAAAATCGGCGGTAAAAAAGTAATACCTGTTGAAAAACGAAATTTGACTTTATTTTGAACTCGATCCATGCGGGTGTCACGTACCGGTACCGGTACCGGCAAACATAAAGAACAATTTTACTGAAAGAAGGTCCCGTGGAATTATTGACAAAGATTTCATGAATTTACTTTTACTTCAGCTTATAGTATTGTCAGCGATTTGTTGCCTATCATACTATCAGACCAAAGCGAGGACATCAACGTAGATGTTTGGCTGGATGACAAGAATGCGGACATGCGAAGGAAGATGTACCGTAGTCAGCGCTACATTGACCACATGACACAACTGCTTCCATGGCTAGAGACTCGCGGGTTATTGGATTTCATACCTGAGGGCGAAGTATTTTAACACGCAAGGAGGATATATACTTTTTTCTAATGAATCTTAAATGAGATAAATATTAATTAATTCAATAAAACTCTTTCTATTACTATTTCCAGCAGTAAAATTAAATGTTTACTTTTTTTATTTGTAGCCTGATAACTGTTTTATTCAATACTTGTGTGGAGCTTGAGGCCATGGTAGAAGTTATAGTCGCATTTCCTATTCCTATTTTTAAGTTCACATGGATTTGAATCGGGACACTCAGGCGCACAAAGGCAGTGGTTTAACCACTTAAGGCCAGTTTTCCAGTGCCAATTTAAACTCAGATAACGTAAAGTGCGCTCATATTGAACAGCTGGTTGACATTTGATTGGATAATCTTAGTTTAAACCAGCTAGAATTATGGTGTGATTATGGCAACTTAACGTAACTTATCGGCTCTCACATTCACATTGAATGTTGCTTATAATTCAACAGCCGAAACTTAACGTAACTCTATGTTCCGTTAGGTTAAGTTAAGTTCTCATAATCAGGCTTTTAGTCTATTTAGTTCATTACAATGCTTCCGCATGAATAAAAACTAAGCAATTGCTTTCCTTAAAATTTCAGACCATTTACTCGATATATTCGATTTAAGTAAAATGTCTCAAATTTTAGCAAAAGCAATTGCTTAACTTATTCATACGGTCCAATATTTTTTGTTTCATTATCTGGTGCGTAAGTATCCCAAGCTAGTGGACGACATACAATACCGCAAACACTCAATGACTGTCCTTGTGACTTTTTTATAGTCATCGCATATTGCAAGTCGAACGTCTTCTCCTTTATACTTTCCTTTTATAATCGTTGTTTCGATGACGTTGCTCATCAATTTCTTCACCGCCATCTGGATTCCATTACAAAGACGTGAATGGTTGCTTTGAATCTTCAAATTCAACTGATTGACATTGATGTTTTTCGGCGCTAATATATGTATGTAGCCCGTTCGCTTAACCAATCATGATTTTTGTAATTTTCCGCAATGTTTGGGAAACCTTTTCTTATGAGTTAAGTCTTTGATTTTGGTGAACTAACAAAAACCAGAGGGTAATGTAATGCACCCAGTTGAAATATGAACGGATATTCTACCCATTGCAAATGTCCAGTAATTGGTTTGAAAATACCTTTCCAAATTGGTCGTTCTGCAGGTCGACACGTATGTATGTTTATACTTAATTTTAAAGTATGTACATATCTCCACAAAACGGGCATCAAACATGCATTGAGTTCAGTGGCTGGCGTTAACCGATTTGGCGAAACTCACCTCCAACAGAATCATCGCGCCTCCAAGCATCTTCTGATTATTTCGTAGATCTCGCATCGTTCGGTCTAATACCTTCAAAGACTTTTCAACTTACATTGCTGCAGAACTTTGGCCATCGAACAAGTCTTCGAAATGTTGCATATCAGATTTTCAGTGAATTGGTAATTTTAGTGCTGAATGAGCCGTTCGCCCGCCTTCCAACAACCTAGCTGCAATGCCGAACGAAGCAAGTGCCACGCGGTCCTGCCAGCGAATTGTGGATACAATTTTGAAGATCTTTTGGTATAAATATTTTTAAACCACTTTTCATTGCTTTTCAAAATCAAATTTAAAAACTAATATTTTTGTATTGTCACTTACATATACATAGTTGCAAAAGTGTCAAGCTGGGCAAAAAAAGATATCGACAACCCACCATGCAAAACATGAGAAATAGGCAACAATCGTCAATGGCAACAAATTGGCGACTCACCGATTTATTGCTGTGGTGACAAATCGGCAACATCACTTCATTCATGTCAATTTTGAATAAAAAAGTTCTCAAAAATTCCGAAACTTATGAATATGGCGTCAATAGTATTGGCCAAAAGCATCTAAATTATGCCCAAGGACAAGATTGAAAAAATAGGAAGCCTCACAGCGAGAAAATGAATTAATTCCGATTGTAAGTTGCAATTTGGTATACAAAAAAATAAATGAAGTATTAAAAAGAATAAAATTATTCCAAATATCGCCTGAAGCGATAAGAAAA